CCGCCACGCCAACACCCTCCATGTTTTGCACATGCGCATTGGTGGTCAGCGCACGTCATAGGGACCGGTTGTTTGGTTGTTCTGGTTGTTCCACTGTTCAGTCTATTTGCATATTAGCCTTTTATTATATAGGATTATTTCTCCTCCCCCTTATGTACTTTAATAATAAACATGCCATGAAAATCAAAACTCTGTCTATATTGTTCACTCTTATATCCCAGTGATTTGAGCAGTATCTGGTACAAAGAAGACTCTCAGATATTTCCTGAGTCAGTGAGTCAGCAAGTGAGTGAATCAGTAAATGATAAATGAATGAATGAAAGAGTTGTTCCAGCACAGGTGCTTAATTTGAATCTCATTGAGTTAGGCACCCTCCCACCCCCAGTACTACCAAGTGGCATCTGCCTGTCTCAAATCAGGTGGATTGAGAAGTGCTGAAAGGGTGACCTTTTAAAGAAAATTCAAGGGCTGTTACTCAAAGAAAGAGAAGAGTGTACTGAGGAGGGAGGAACAGCTGTCTGCCCTGTGATTTCCCCTTCTCTCTTTCTCTCACCATGCCTGTATGTTACTACCTTGGACTAGGTTTATATCCTTTCTTTTGCTCCCTTCTCTAAAAAAAGTTATCAGTTCTTCTTTTGAAATACCATATGTCTTTTTTCTAATACAATCCACATTGGTATTGACTCTCAGTTCCTTGTCACTGGTCATACTGCCCATGGTGATGTGATCTCCACAACCCAGGATCTCCTGACTGTGGGTTTCTTATTCTGTCATTTCTTAAAAAGAAAAAAAAAAGTACAACATAGTCATTTGTTCTTCTTACCTAATGGATGTTGAAAAAATTGTCAGTTTTGTAATGGTGGCATAGGAAGGTAATGTGAAGGGGATTTTTTTTAAAAGCAAGAAATAGGGTTGGATTTCAGGAAAAATTATTCATTGTGCAATTCAAATGTTAGAACTCACAATTTAAATGTTTACTGTTCCCTACAGTGGGTACCATATGGTGTTTCATTCTTTTAACATCTGGGTATATTGACATATATTAAAGGACCCATGGAACTTCGGCTCAGTTTCCATTTAAAACTGGGTTTGTTGCCCTGGCCAATGTGGTCAGTGGATAGAACATAAGCTTGCACTGGAAGGTCGCAGTTAGATTCCATAGCGGGAACCTGGGTTGCAGGATCCATCTTGGGCCCTGTTCAGGTGAGTGCAAGAGGCAACCAATCAATGTGTCTCTCTCACATCTCTCTCTCTTCCCCTCCTTGACTTCCACTCCCTCTAAAAACAAATGGGAAAAAAAATGTCCTTGGGTGAGGATTGAAAAAAATAATAAAACTGGACTTGTTTTCAAATAAAGGAAGTATATGTATTTGTATTATCATTTTCTCGTTTTTCTTTTTCCCTTTTATTTTAACAAATTGCTTTTGGTGTGAAGAATATAAAGTCCTGGCATCAGATAAGAAAATTAAGTTTAGTTTTGCAGGTAGAAAACATGGTTGTTTCTAAGGTATTTTCTCCCTAATTTGTTGATCTGATTTCCGCCCCCCAGGCATTTCCCGGGAACGTCAACTCTGACAGTGTGGTCCGGCATGACTTACAGCATCCCGTTGTTGCCCGCTACGTGCGCTTCGTGCCTCTGGACTGGAATGGAGAAGGCCGCATCGGGCTCAGAATTGAAGTCTACGGCTGTTCTTACTGTGAGTATCACACATGAAATTCATGGTGGGTTTTGCCATCTTCATGTAAAGTCTTCATGTAAATTGTGGCCTGTTTATTTTCAGTTATTTAACACTAGAGGCCCAGTGCACAAGTTTGTGCATGCGTGGGGTCCCTCTGGGTGGCCTACAGGGATCAGACCAAAACCCGAAGCCCAACGCCGCCTGCAGCTCCTACCTGCTGCTCCCGCTTATCCTGGTCCCACTGTGCCTGCCACAGGCTCGCGCCCAATCAGTCCCAATCAGGAGAGGCTCATGCTGCTGCAGCAGCACTCACCAACCATGATCCCTGCATGTGGCGCCCTCCCAAGGGGAGTGGCCCGCGGGATCTGGCTGAAACCAGCTCTCCAACATCCCCCGCGGGGTCCTAGATTGTGAGAGGGTGCAGGCCAGGCTGAGGGACCCAACCGGTGCACGATCAGGTCGCGGAGGGACTGCGGGAGGGCTCCAGGATGTGTCCAGCACATCTCACTCAGTCCCAATCAGAAGGACACCAGCAGCAAGCTAATCTACTGGTCAAAGTATCTGCCCCCTGGTGGTCAGTGCACGTCAAAGCGACTGGTCGACCAGCTGACTTCTGCCCACTGGTGGTCAGTGTACATAATAGTGAGCAGTTGAGCAGCCTTAGCATATTATTAGCATATTACGCTTTGATTGGTTGTTCGGTTGTTCTGCCGTTTGGTCTATTTGCATATTACCCTTTTATTATATAGGATGGCTTGCTTTCTCTGACAGTAAACTGCCTTCTGTTTTTATATATAAGTAAAATATAAGGTTTTTTGTTATAAATATATGTTTACATTTACTCACAAACACGTTATGTAAGAATAGCTTAAGAATATCTTAAGGATTGGGAAGCAATTTTGTTCAGTTAGCTAAAACAACAAAGCTTGTTGGTAAAATTGCCTGAAGTCTTATGAAATACTTAAAAAGAGAAACCTATGTTATTACCCACCTTTTTGGCTTTTTGTGATGGATTTTGAGTATATTCCAAGAGCTTTCTTCCAGTTCTGCTCCATTGTAGCATCACCATTCTAAAACCAAACACCAAGTTTTAATGGCAGTTACATTGTACTTGTCTATATGTTTTATTTGCTCCTTTTCAAATTTACTTGGCCATCTTTTTTTTTTAATCGTGATATATTTTTTTTAAACTCCCGTTTTTTATTTTTTAAAAATACATTTTGCATAGTTCTACTGATTCCACTATGAGAATTTGGGGGGATTTTAATTCTGTTACTACTGTTTCTGCTTATTTTTTAAAGTATTGCTTGATTTCTTCTCTGTCTCCTCCATTTCCTCCTCTTCCTTCCTTCTTCATCTTCTTAGCCCTCTTACCTGCTTATCCTCTCTTCCTTATTCCTCCACTAACCCATCTTTTTGCCTGGGACTTCAAATTCTTCAAAACTTTATCTGTGGAACTTCTTTTAGGCCAGGTTGATGGTGGCACCTAGAGATGACTTATCTTTGCTCATTTGCTTCTATAAGCACAGAATTACCTTAGGGACACACAATGACCTGAAAGATTATTGGAGGCTGTTTGAGGCCACTATGTAGTATAAATTCAATCTACAAACTCATGATTTGCAAACACTGGCTTTAGAATATGAACTCTCTTTTAAAATATGTCTTTCTCCTACCAAGAAATTTTGTTCCCATTCCCATTCTTCCAGTTGGCTGGAGGAGGAGGGATGCTGGGTATGGGCAGGACATGGAATTGGGATATCAGCTTTATGCAAGGGATCTCTTATTACACTCTCCCTTAACGCTTCCTGTAGACCCATAAAAATGAAAGCTCACTATAACCAGTAAATGGGAAAATGCACTATTGGGCAAGCTTTTTAAGATTAACCAAATACTTGGTAGTTAATAACAAAAACTATATAAAATGTTCACCTCTGTAAGAATTTAATTACAGAGATTAGTGAAGGTTGTCACTGTAATGGTGACCAAATGATATTTTATTCATGAGAAACATTGTTATACACTAAGCTGGTTAATACAAAGGGACCACGGAGATCATTTTTACAGTTCTATAGGCCTTTATTTTATTTGGTCATCACTTTATTATAGCAAATACAATGAGTAGAAACACAGAGTTAGGTCTTCAGGAGAATTAGATCTTTGGGAGGAAGTTTTAACTCTTCAGGTGAAGCCTAAAATGAGTCCGAACATAAATTCATGTCCTTTCAATACCACAGTGAGTAAGAAAAACTTGCCATGATAGATAAAGGCCATTAATTAATCTAATAGTGTTTATATGGATGAAAATTGTGAAAGTTAAAATTTGCTCAAAGACACACATCCTGAGTGTGAGCTGCAAGGGAATCCAGGTAAGTGGGTATAATGCCAAAGCTCAGCACCTCCGTTATGCTTTCCTGCTCCTTAATTCCAGCAAAGTGAGCACCCATGTGACCAGCACCAGGTCAATAAAAGATGCATATTTCACCCCAAAAGTACTCCTTGGGCCTCCTTAATTACATTTGTGAGAATTATCCATGCTGTTAAGGTATTTATTTCCATTAGTATGATTATTCTATGATATGAAGATTATACAATTATTTTTTCATTTCTTCTTTGTGAACATTTGAGTGTTTCTGGTTTTGATTATTTCCATAGAATTGTTTATTGATTTTCATAAACATTTCTCATGGATGTAGACCAAGGAAGGGGTAATACCAAGTTAGCACATGCATTTTTCCAAAGTTTATTAAATGACAAAAACTTTCCTTAAAGTCATTGTATCAAGTTAGACTCTTACAAGCAATGTATGAGGGTTTAGTTGCTCAAAAAATTTTTACATTTAGTATTGTTTTAGCCATTCTGGTGGGTGTTTATTATTATATCTCATTTTAGCATTAATGAACACTTTCTTGATTTTTAAAGAGGGTATGCTTACTGGTCTTTTCTGAAATGTTTGTTCAGGAATCTTGCCCATATTTCTATTGGGTTGTCTTTATCTATTTGTCTAATTGTTTTGAGTAGTATTATTTTATTTTATTTTTTATTGTTTAAAGTATTGCATATGTCTCCTTTTTCCCCCATCGACCCCTCCCCAGCCACTACCACCCCCCAGGACAAGCCCCCACCACCACAGTGTCCATGTCCATTGGTTATGCTAATATGCATACATTCAAGTCCTTGGTTAATCTCTTACCCTCCCCTCCCCTGCCTTCCCTCTGAGGTTTGGCATGTTTTTTACAGCCAACTCTGTTTCTTTTTTTATTCTCATTATGATATCTAGACATGTATCTTCTTTTTGAGATAGCTTTAAAAATAATTATTTGTTGCTTGTATGCATGCATATGAGCATAACCAATGGACATAAGACACTGGGGGGTAGGGGAAGCTGGGGTATTGTCAAGGGCGGGGGGGGGGGAAAGGACACATATGTAATACCCTTTGTAATGCTTTAAGCAATAAAAAAAATAATTATTTGAAAACCAACATAACCAATTAAATTACTTTAGAACTCATAGTAAATGATAAAAGCAGCTTGCCAAAAGGAAATAGCCCTCTGACTGTGAAACATGACAATGTGTTCTATAATCATTGTAAGTCGATTTGTAAAGTTTTGAGTTAGTGCTACCATGGACTTTTCCATCAATCTTGGGCTTTGGCAAACACAACACGCAAGAAGGAAAAATATCTGAAACTAAATAGGAAGCTGGATATTCTACTGCATATGCCTTTCTTGTAGGAGAAATCATACCCTTTGGGTAAATGTATTAACATTTATACCTATAGATGCCTATAGATGCCAGTGGAGTAATGATATATTGGCAACATAGGATCAAATAAAGTAAAATGAAAGTTGAAAAATAGCATTGTAGAGAATCGAAGATGGCGGCGTAGGTAAACACCGGAGACCGCCGCCGTAAACAACCACTTCAAAAATACAGCTAAAGGTCGGAACGGACATCAACCAGAACCACAGGAAGGCTGGCTGAGGAGGGACTCTTCAACTAGAAGCAAAAACAACAGCAGTCCGATGCACAGAGGAGGCGCAGTGTGGAAAATTTAAAGGTACGGCGGTGCGGCGGTGCGCGCGCAAAGCAGGCTGGTGGCTGAGGGCGCGGTTGTCGTTTTCACTCAGGAGTGAGTCTCAGACTCTGGGCTACAGATCCGGGCGAGTCTCTAGGGACCCTGCCTCAAACGGGAGAAGCGGGACTGTCTGGCTACGGCCCCTCCGAGGTTTGCAGCGATTGCTGGGACAGAGAGGCAGAGCCCTTGGGGACGGACTGAGAGCGGCCATAGCTGCTCCCTCCCCCCGCCCTGTTGAGCCCGCCCCTCCCAGGCCCTGAGCAGAGCCATTTGCCGATCGCCTCAGGCAAGGGCTGGACTAGTGCCTCCCCAGATTCCTACAGCCAGTCGGTCTGCTGGTCAAATCCCTCTAGTGTTAACTACAACAATTAAGGCTTGGCTAGAACAAGACTGCGCACAGAGACCACAAGGGGGTGCACCAAGAAAGCATAAAAGATGCGGAGACAAAAAAGCATGACAGAAATGGAGGATATGGAGCTAAGAATCGCAATTTTGAGGGCTTGCCATAAATTTGTGCAGAGCCTCACGAAAACTAATGAGACCCTCGATGCTACGATAAAGAAATTAGAAAGTAAGCATACAGGGACTGAAATAAAGAATATTATACCCAATAGCAGACCAGACGAGCAAAAGAATCAAACCAAAGATTCGACAAAAAACACCCAATTGGAAAAGCAAAATGAAAAAAGAATCCGAAAGTGTGAAGATAGTATAAGGAGCCTCTGGGACAGCTTTAAGCGGCCTAATATTGGAGTTCCAGAAGATGAGAGACAGCAAGATATTGAAAACCTATTTCAAGAAATAATGGCAGAAAACTTCCCCCATCTGGAGAAAGAAATGGACTTACAGGTCCAAGAAGCGCAGAGAACCCCAAACAAAAGGAATCCAAAGAGGACCACACCAAGACACATCATCATTAAAATGCCAAGAGCAAAAGA